CAGTAGACTTCATGCTACTTTCAGCCTAAAGATTATTCCTCTGAAATCCAAAATATAAACATTAAACAAGAATTCATGTAAACTAGTTAACTTTCTAGCAAATAGTTTCACTGTTCGGAAAAAGGAATGAAATAGTGAAGCCTAAAATAACCATAACCTTATCTTAGAGTGGTAATGCTTCAGAGACAAAAGTCACACAGTTTGGGGGATCAGATCAGGAGGACTATCTTGCTACATCTGCCTCTTTCTGTCTCGTAACTCTTCGATGAAGAACCAGCTGTAATTTGGCTTTGTTACAAAAAGACTGAGCTCTTGATCTCCATAGTGCTTATAAGCAGATCAGTTCATTATTAGAGAGGCAACCTTTCACTGGCAATATTTTGCTTCTTTTTTATTTTTAAATTATCACCACAAAGGTGGGAGCAGATGCTGACAGAATTCTCTGTAGTTTCCCCTTCTTTCTTAACTGTTGGGTGAGCGCAGACAGTTACTTTAACTCTAAGACATATGACATCAGAAAAACCTCTTATGTTCCTGAACCCCGATTTGTACCAATCACACTATTTGATTCTCTGGGATGTTGCTGAAGTTTGGTGGCAGTTTGGTGGTCCAGGAAATGCATGTAGGCCACCTGCTAGTAAGCATCAAGCACTATTTGAAAATACCCACATACATGATCATAATGACTATATGTGTATAATACAATTACAAAATTCATAGAACGAAACACCTCACAAGATTACTCAAGAATATATGGAGGAAGAACAGCCTGCAAATAAATGTTGGTTTTGCTTTTGCTTCAGAGACAACTGAAATAAAGTGTCCAGATGAGGTTTAAGGATAACTTCTGAGACAGGACATCTACCTTAGCAGGTAGAGTTCTGGACAAATAAATGGAGTCAACTCCCCCAAAATAGATACTGTGATCATGAAATCAACCAGGAGTCAACCCCAAAGCATTTGATTGCAATTTTATGTTTTGGATTTCATATATAGTATATGTTTTAATGTTATGTAATTTTGGTTTTGGTTTGATTTATTTTTGTTCATTTTTTGGTGTACACTAGCCAGAGTAATATTGGAATAGTGTAAATTTGCTTAACAAATATAAATTTATTATAAATTTACTTAACAAGTAAAATAAAATAAAGTGATGTCAAGAATTGCTATGGAAGTGCTCAAAGACTTCTTGGCCCATTGATTACTAATAAACTGATGTGCTTCTGTGTCATAAGACTTTTTGTTTTGACAGCAAGAGTTTGACATGACTCCTTAACTTGAAGCTGATTGTAATGAGAACTTTTTTCTTTTGGAAAACTCTTTTCTGTCCTGCTTTATGAAAAGAAAAGCTCAGACATTATTCTAATCTAGCTTTTTTCTTTTTTGCTTTACAGGGAACAGGAAGGTAAGGCAATGAAAACAATCATGTTTGGTAGATTTTTCAGATATTTTAACAAGGTCTAATGTTGTTCTCCTTTCTTTCTTGGTTTTACCTTGCTGCAGAAGACTGTATTGAAGAAGGTAAGTTTCTGTTGTTATTAGAAAAGTCATTTTATATCTTTTAAAGGCATGTAGAAGCACAGTGAACAATAAAACAAGATTTCCCCAAGATACAAAACAAGAACTGTTGTGATACAGGAAAGGCAATAATTCATCTGGCACAAGTTCCCCTATACAGCAAGAGCAAAATTCTATGCACTTTACTATTTCTACTAAAAAAGGAAGATTCAACTATGCCATTTTTTTCTTTACAAGGAGAAAGAAAATAGACATTTGCAATTACAAGAATGCCTTATTAGTATTGGTAGGCATAGGCAGAGAGAAATACGAGCTGGCTTAAGTATTGTCAGTTTTATAACATTTAGCCTTATTATAGATATTCAAAAGTTAATGGGTATCATTATTATTGATATGCTTATAAAATCCTTCCTGACAATATGAACAAGCAGATTTGGAGGGAATATTTCATAGAGGGGAAGGTTTTATCAATGTAAGTCCAGGCACCTTATCATAGATAAGAGAAAATTCTTTTTAATACAATAAGTTGTATTTAAATTGTTAATATAATTAATATTGCATACCTTTCTGATTCTTGTACTTGTTTTTTGTTGTAATACATTTGTATTCCAAATGTATTTTGTTTCATGTCACTTGTTTTTTCTCCTGTGTTGTGACACTCTCCATGTTTTTTAGTGTGAAAGTATTATTAAGGTATATCATAAAATACAATGAAAATAAAGATTACAAAAGGTGTTTGTGTGTTAGGCACGAATGATCAGACATCTTCATACATGAAGATTCAATTAAACTGATTTATTGCTAATCATACCTATGAACAGAAATGGACTCAACTAACAATTAACACTTGCTTGGAGTTAACGGAATTCAAGGGAGCTTGGACTTAGCTTGCTTTGTGGCTATGTAGCAATTCTAGGCTAACCCCTCTTTTAACTCCACGTCCAAGTTCTGCCACTCCTTCTTCTACATGGAGAAAAAGCAGGATAAAAAAAGAGGAGAGAGAGAAAAAGGTGTGTGTGTATAGTATGCGCGTGTGTGTGTGTGTGTGTTCTTTCTTCCTCTTCAACATACTTCCCAAATTTAATTTCAACATTTTACATTAACAATAACCTATCATTTCATTTTAGAATCCACTTTATAAGCACAAAACAATGCACTGGAACTATTTTTTAATTACACATGTCATACCAATAGAAAATCATCCTAACTCTAATTAATTTATTAAATTTATGTCAGTCCCTCCAGTTATCCTGATAAAATATTTTTCTTCTTCAGAATGCCTATAAAATATAAACTTCTGTTTTTCTTAAGAAATTCTCCAATATTACTTTTAAAACAAATATGACAGCGCTGCCAATTTCCATGTTGATTTTGAGGTGGAGATTCCCAAACTTATTCTCCTGAGGATTGTAGATTTACTTGCAACTCTTCTTATTTCAATTGTACTGGGGGACTTGTAATTAAACCATCTTCATAGTAGGCACTGTTGCTATCAGATTAATATTCCAAAATTAGGGTTATGTCCTATATATTGTCAAATACTTGTGCAGTAACTTCAATGGTTTGATAACTTTCTGTGCTTGGTTGCATCTCTGAATTACTCATCTTTCTTCCAAATAATTGAATAATTTCTTTCCCTTAATCCTCTTTCATGACATCTTTGGAACATAGTTGATCTATAAAATGAATTGCTTTATTTAAATAGGAGTCATGGTGGCACAGTGGTTAGAATACAGTATTGCAGGCTAGTTCTGCCAATTGCCAGCAGTTTGATACTCATCAGGGTCAAGGTTGATTCATCCTTCCATCTTTCTGAGGTTGGTAAAATGAAGACCCAGAATTGTTGGGGTAATATGCTGACTCTATAAATCTCTCAGAAACGTCTGTAAGGCACTATGAAGTTGGTATATGAGCCTAAGTACTATTGCTAAGTGCTATTCCTCAAAAATATTTTTTGCAATTTTTCTGTTTTAGATGTATTTGATGTTCTTTAGCTCCCTCTTGTGGTCAAATAATCAATTTAAAATATTTTTTGTAGATCAGCTAGTATCTGTTGGCCAATCAGAATTCATTAAAATCAGAAGAGTTCAGTTTCTACAACAAACAATCCAAAATTGCAAATTATAATTCCCAATGTCAGATAAAGATAGTAATTTAATGGAAATGATAAAATGAAGCTATAGATTTTAAAGTATGCTTTTCCATCAAAATTTGAAAAAAAAATACTCCTTATTTTAGTACACCTTCTGCAACTCTCCTCCTCCTTATTCAACAATACTGATGTACCAAAAATGGCACAGATCTTCAAAAAGAAGTAACAGGCTATTACTGAAAAAAGACTTCTTTAGCTTACTAGCAATAGCAATAGCACTTAGACTTGTATACTGCTCCACAGTGCTTTACAGCACTCTCTGGGTGGTTTGCACAGTCAGCATATTGCCCCCAACAATCTGTGAAGTTGCCCCTTAAAAGTCATATTACATCCCCTCCCCATTTTCAGGCTCCATTGAAGATTAAACAAAAATGAAAAGTGCTTTAGCAGAGGACTGTGTTCACATAAGATTTGAACCACTTCTAAGTAGTTTTTGAAGCATGCACAGTCCTGTTACTTTCATATAAAATGAACTGAAACAAGTACATTGAAATTCAGTCTGAAATTAGTTTTCCAGCACTTGCAATTTTACATGTATATTTTCCCTTCTAACCTTCTGAGTAGTGGCACGATATTGATATCTGTTTGTACATGAATGTCCTAGGTTGTTTGGCTTTCAACATCCCATTTTCTTGTTAACATCTGACTTCATAAATGCTTGGCTCCTAAAGTCTAGTCATGCGCACAACAACAGCAGCAACAAACAAACCAGCACTGAAGTTATTTACACCTAGTTGTTTATACTTTATTTTGATACCACGGCTTCTTATAATCCTTGCTAACCTTCTGTACTTATTCTCTTTCACCACCCTGCTTGCCTTGATTAAGAAGAGGAAGAATGGATAGAGGTGGAAGACGGTAGTAGAACCTTTATTTTCATTTTACTTTATAAGTACTTCTTCATGTTACAATAGGAATATTTATTATTCTTTCATGCATGGAAAGATCATACCTAACTGAAATATACATCATCAATAGGATCAGTGGTGGGATTCAATTTTTTTAATTACCAGTTCTATGGACGTGGCTTGGTGGGCGTAGCAAGGGAAGAATACTGTAAAATCTCCAGTCAGAGGTAATTTTTGCTGGTTCTCCGAACTACTCAAAATTTCGGCTACTAGAACTGGTCGGAACCTGCTGAATACCACCTCTGAATAGGACTATTTAAACCACAAATATAATGAGGTCTAAGAATGGCAACTGTAATACTGAGAAAAGAAAATAGTATTTTCCATACAACAAAAGCTATTTTCATTTGTAATAAGATAGAACTGGAAAATCCTAACATTCCATTTGAGGACTGAAAGTTGACAAACTGTATTTGACTTACATGATATCTTGGCACTATCTACATCAGGAGTGTCAAACTCAAGGTCTGTGGGCCGGATCCAGGGTGCTTAGATCTGGTTTGCAGGGCTGTTGTGGAAACAGTGAAAGACTGGCCTGAGGTCCTCTCAGTGAAAATGGGCTCCCGAACTCCATTTTCACTGGCAGATGGTTGCAGAAGGTTGTTGCAGCCGAAAATGGAGAGCGCTTGGGCCACCACAGGCACTGACAGAAGTGACATTGAGCTGGCTATGCCCACCTCAGCCATGCCCACCCCATGCCCAACCCTGATGCGGCCCTGGATGAAATTGAGTTTGACACCCCTCATCTACATGGTTATCATACAAAAGATGGAGAAAGCAAGCTTAGAATCACTGGCTAAAAATTATAAGGAGAAATGAGTTTAGGCTGCCAACCATATGAACCGTGAGGTAGGGGAACAAGCTCCTACACGAAGTTCTCCTTCTCTGGAGTTCTTCTGTGGAGTTCTCCTTCTTTGGGGATTTTAAGACAGGCTGGATAGACATCAGTTATAGATGCTGTAGTGGATCCTGTACTTAGTAAGGGACTGATGAGATGATATCTGTCTTTATGAGTCATTGATTCTGTAATAAATGTCTACAACTCTTTTTTGCTTCACTAAATTTTTGGCCTAACTTAATTCATCTAATCTGTATTGCAGAAATGAAAGACTATAAAATTATCAAAAGGAGAAAAAATGTTTCGCCCATTTTTCTTCGGTATTCATAATAATTATGGAGTTCTGATTATATTTAACTTATTTTAAATAAAAAAATCATTAACTAAAAAAATTACAACTTGCCTATATTTTTCCTTTATTGTAGATGTTCTAATACTCTGAACATGTTTTGCTCCATTCTTCATTTGTTTCCTTAATTGAACAGTTATTCTGTTTTGGAATGTGGGAAAAGTCCACTTAGATGTATCCTGAAGAATCTGCCTAGATATTTAAAACGTGCCTTATATTGATATCTCAGTTCATGCCAGAATTCTGCCTCCTTTTCCTAATCACCATGAAAGATATTTATCATTGAATCAAAATGTAATTCATGGGCATTTTGGAGAGGCCCAGGTTTCTTTAGGCGTGATTGGAGTCACAAATCAGGGACAGGTAGAACCAGAGGCAAATTGAACAAAACTCTCTCTTTCTCAGTCACCCCTTTTCAACATCCTCCTGTCTCTTTCACTCTCCTCTGTTTCTAACACTCTCTTTTCTTTCTTTCCTCATACTGAACATATTGCTTTTCTCGGAGGTCTAAACTGCTTGCTTGCAAACGATCTTTGAAATTATACCAAGGACATCATCAAATTGAGCTAAATATCACACATATCCACAGGACTGCTCTCCTCTCTTTTTTTGGAACTTTGCTCTTTTTCAACTCTTCCTCTTCTTTAACCAAACTTCCATAGCCTGACACTAATGTATTAAAATACTTTTTTTAAAATTGGTTCATCTCCGTATACTTATATTTGGTGATTATTCTGGTGTTTTATTTTGCAGAAGAAGAAGAAGTGGAAGAAATCAAGGAAGATGCAGAAGAAGCCATAGCAGAAGGCACGCAGTGATATTCTGCTAAACCAGTTTTGGGTGATACTTTTTGGGAGGCAGGGGTTATGGGTATGGCAGTATGCTCTTTTACAACGCAGAGATGTAAGAGATCTATAGCTACAGTTTTATAAAGCTTCATATTTATATGTAAATCATTAATGTCCCTACGTCTACTTGTTTATGTTTCATGCATATTACAAGAAAGCTAAGAAACAGAAGAAAGCAATTTGTGCTTAGTGAAAGAGAAAACATTCATTAGCACATTCTATTTTCCTACTCCTTACTTATGCATAGAAGCATAATGCTATTTTGGAAAAATCAAGGTTTTGTTGAAACTAGCAATTATTATATGTAAAACAGACAGACGTATGGATGTCCACAACATGAAAAGATAAACTATATACCTAACATTCAATGCTGACTATGTGTTATTTTCCCTTTCTTTATAAGTAGGTTTGAGAAGAGGGACACTAACACTTTCCCTGGAAATAACAAGTCCTTTGAAATGTTTTTGAAAAATAGCATTTTATTAATTGAAAGTCATTTTGATGGTATAACTATATTTGTAGGGGCTCATAACTTTATAATCTAGTCCAGTTTTGATGTTACAATAAATTAGGACAGGAGATGCTACTGACTGTGATTATCAAACAAGCCAGAATGTCAGTAATGTGAGCTTTTCCAGGAATGAGTGGATGAACTGCAAAGCATCCTAGGAATGATTTCAGGCATAGCTTATGAGCAATAAAATGCATCCAGAGGGAGTGGTGGTGTAGTAATGTGCTACAGTGCTAATCAAGTTCTTTACTCCTCTTTTAAAATAGAACCAGAAGAGCAAGCTAAAGAACATGAAGAAGGTAAGTAAATAGGAAATACCTGTATGTCATAACGGTCTGAGTGAGTGATTGGCTGAAATTTTCAGAGCTGTTACATTAGCTTAGGCTGAGTAAAGATTAGCTCGTATTTCATATTAGACTAGTTTAGCATTCATGGATAAGAGAACCAAGAGAGTGAGTTTAGTTTAAAATACGTTGGGAAGTAGAATAGAATGAGTGGTGATGCAGCATAGCTTATGGTGAGATTTTTGTTTGTTTGTTTTTGTTCATGAAGGAAAGGTGGTATTGCTGTCCATGCCATTTTTAAAAGACATTCTGGTACACCCCAGAATACAATTATTGCACATTTACTATTGAAATATATAACATTTGTAGTTCAGTGATTTTAAAGACATTAAAAGATGCACAGTTGTGTGTAGCAATAGTGGAAAAACATGATTTAATCATAAATCTCAATTCTTAACCTGAGACAATAAGGCAAAAACTAAAGTTTTCTGCTTAAAAAATGTGTGCATATTGATTTGACAATGTGAAATGCATTCACATCCAGATGGAAAGGAATGTATCTCTCCTCCTAAGGTCCTCTGTTCTGTGCCTAACCTTTGTATTTTCCCTAAGCATCTACATTTAAGGAAATTAGGAATCAAGCTCCCATTCTATGCACCAAGAATTAGTTTGGTGTACAATAACATCCAAACATTGCTTAAAGAAGCATCTTGTTTGAAAAGGAAGAGAGAAGTATAAATATAAAACAAACAAACCATATGATTAACTTCAGAAATGAGAAAAGGGCAGATAAAAAGGCACTAGTTAGAATCATTGATATGAGCTATGGTGGTGCAGTGATTAGAATGCAATATTGCAGACTAATTCTGTTGAGTGCCAACTGCCAGCAGTTCAGCAGTTTGAGTTTTGCCAGTTCAAGGTTGACTGAACCTTCCATACTTCTGTGGTCGGTAAAATGAGGACCCAGATTGTTGGAGGCAATATGTAAACTGGTTAGAGAGGACTGTAAAGCACTGTGAAGGAGTATATAAGTCTAAGTGCTATTGCTATATAGTACAATGAATACTATAAATCAATAGAAGTTGGAAACTTGGTTTTTATTGTTTATTTTTTAAACTGGCAATCTTCTAGTTGGGATGTAACATTAAGTTGGCCTCTAGATCAGAGATCATAATTTGCATACAATAGCATCAGCATGCTTGGGGTAAAATTTGATTGTGATATACTAGCCAAAATATGGCAAAACAGACCAATATACTCATTACTGTTAGTGGGGAATACTGCTAGTTACATGGCTCTAGTTCAGGCTGGTAACTAGTCTGCTCCTTCTCTTTACTAAGACAGAGACCAGCCTTAACAGTTAGTAAAAGCCTCAACTCATCAAAGTCTTGATAGGAGTGGAGGTCAATATCCATGAACTCATTCAGTAATAACTAGGCATATAGAAAATTTTGATCTGGAATATAAAGAGGAGTAAACAATAAAGAACTTGAATTAATGAATGGGTGTTGGGGAGAGGAAAAATGGTTTTTTTTTTCTTACCACTATATCAGCTGATTTTAATTCATTTTGCTGAGCATGTCTTAGTCCTTTTTGTATGATACTGCTTATCCACAAAAGAAATAGCATGGTGTTTGTGATGCTTTATAGTTTTGTATTTGTTTTTATTTCAGGGGAATCAAAGCCCAAACCCAAGTAAGTACATATGACTTGAGTGTTATGTTACCATAAATACATTAAAATATAACATGTTTCTAGACTACATTTTTGTCATACAATTGCCTTGCCACATTCAATGAATTTTATAGTTTTAGATGAAATGCCATTACGTCTCATGTATAACCTGCCCATGTTTTCTTGTTGGTTTTTAAATCTTTTTTTCTTTCATACAATTTTTTAAAAAGCAAAAGATGGGTTTTTTTTTTACACTGGAGCTGTTGTCTTCTGTGCACTTTTTGGGTAGTGGCAGTGGGTCTTCCATTCTGTACATAACTTTTTGAATGAATAATGATTCACAAGAGGGTTGTATTGGCTACTTATGTGGCTATTTATGCAGCCAGATACTGCAGAAAATTACAAGATTCTGGGAACCCCTCATATCCACATGTTCAGTTGAGACCAATATTCAGGTAGGGGCTGGACTCAAATTTGTTGCTGAAATTAATGTGCCATTCATGTAACTGCATCATTGCTCCTCAGGGTATAGTTGGAATTGCATAAGGAAAATATTTCGAGAGATGGTTTCTAAGTTTGACTGTTTAAATAGTTCTCCTCTTAGCACCATACCATAGACAGAGCACAAAACCCAGGCAAAAACAGAATGGAGGCATAGACATGATGACTGTAGTTGGAAGCCATAAATATCAGCTGTTGTATCCCTGTTGTCTCTTAGCCTGCCACTCAGATGCCTTAATCTGTCCTATTTAGCATAGATTGCCCCATTTATAGTATAGCTGCAACCAATCCATTTCACAGTCCTTTAGACCTGAAATCCTCTGGTGATTAACTAAGCTTTGGAGCAACCTGATACAAGGAGATCCCAGAGTGCTCTGCATGCAGCAGCTGTCTTGGGATCCTCCATTATCTAGATGTCATTGCAGCATCAACAGCTGTCTGCACCAGCTAAGCTACTAAGTCTTTTTAGCTTCATAAGCTATGCACCTTCTTGCAATCTTGCAATACTTTTATCATCTCTACTTTATCAATTTCTACTATAAATGGCAGGACCTTCATTTGCATTCTCAATATATCTGTAAGTTGATAGACTTTAGATTAAATTAATCATAACAATTAAACACTGGAATGAGTTTCATCTCCTGAAGTCAAGATATCAACTATCCCTCCATGCTTGTTTCTTATTCTTTCCAGTCATCAGATGAATCATTTATTCCTACGGCCAGGGTTCTGGGTGCACTTAGACTTCAGAAGTTTGATAAATGCTCAGGCCAGCAGGTTAACTACCTTAAATTCCCATGAATGTATTTATTCTATGAAATTGTTATTGTCCTTTATATTCAGAAATATAAAAACAGACTTCAACCTAAATCTATGGGCATGCACATAAAAATAAGTTGCGATTATCTACTTTGGAAGAAGCCCTTATATTTCTGTTGTAGGCTTAAGTAGGATATGTGTTATATGTACTAACTGGGAATACCATTGAAAACAGTAGATTTCCCCCCCTTTTATATAAGTATTTTATATAAGTAATTCTGTTGTTTAAAAATACAGTATTCAATAAAACATTGAAAATAAAACAAGATAAGAACAAAAAAATAAAAAGAGTCAAGATAAATTAAAGAAAATGAAAGAAAGTAGGCTTTTTTATAATAGGAATGAAAAATGTAAAATTGTAAACATAATAAACAGATGTTTCTATTTTTAAAAATGTATAGATAGAGATATTCTATTAGGATGAATTATTAAGAATTGTTCTGATACAGATAAAAGTTGAGACTAAATGTGAATAACATTTACCTTCAATTAACTGATTCTTCATGATCGGTTCTGCATCAATTTTTCAGATAATACTTTTTCCCATACTTTTCAATACCATTGATTAAAAAGAAACTATTTTTGTATACCAATGTTTTACTACAGAAAAGCTAACAATTAAACACCAAAATTGGATGCATTTCTTTGCTGTTGTATTTTCTTGTTTATATTATTTTATATATCTTAGGAAAGTGTGTACATTTTATTTTCAATGAAATTACATAGGATTATATTGCTAATAAACTTTTTTTTAAAAACGAATTCCATAACAGAAAATACACGATCTTTTTTAGGTAGTTCTGGAAGCTATCTAGTATTTTTTAAAATGTCAGCTACAGAAGGGATGAGACAGATGGAAAGCAGTTGCAGCTTGCAGCCTTAGATGAAACCCTCACAAGGATAGTATTCCAGATATGAAGTTATTACAGCTGTTCAATACTTCACCTAAACTGGGTAAAGAAAAATAAAACTTCAATGGCAGGTGGAGCCATGGTATACCTGGCAACCATTGTGACGTTCCATTTGGTGCTTCCATCCGCCTCCCCCCCCTCCCAAAAAAATTAAATTGGAATTACAGTGACATTGGCAATCAGTTTAAATAAATAGCCACAATGAAATAGTGGCCATAAACATTATTTAAATAAATTAATACAAATAAAATATGTTTGGGGTGTTCTGAGATCAGCTACTATACTTTTAGCCCTCTTCTAGATTTGCACTGTAGCAAAGATGATATTTTATTCCTTTAACATTCTGAATGTGGTACTGAGACTTTTCTGTTTTTAAGAAATATTTCAATCATGGACACATTTTGTTAAAAGATAAGAGAATGCCCTTTAAATGGCATTGTGCAATTATTTTTTCACAGCTAAAGAAACGTGTTACAACATTTTTAAAAAAATCCTACCAGTAAATACAACAGGGGTTTTAAGAAACAATGCAGTTACTCTAAAATTCATAACTTTTAATCATTCTTGTTTACAAAAAGAGCTATATCAATGTCATCCAATTAGATAAACATCACATGACCCGAACAGTTTCATTTAGTTTATAGTTAGGAGAATAATATAATTGAAGGCTTCCCCTTCAATTATGAGTTACAACATGTAGGTTATTCACCTAGTTTGTGATATACTATTTTCTAGATTAAATATTTTTTATCTGCAAAAGTGACAATGAATGCATTTCCTTATGTGTAGTTTACACAAGATAAAAACAATGTTACAATGTGTGAGTTTTGCCTATATTGTGTTGGATAATTTTACTTTAATTTGGAGAGAAAACTCCTCAACACCAATGGGATTAAATTTGGCCCAATGATGTGAGAAATGCAACCAAATCAATGAACTCATAGGTATGCAGAAAGAGATAGAGTGAATTAAAAGTCAGATGTCATTTGTATTTTACTCTAATTTCAGGTTGTTCACACCTAATCTGGTCCCTCCAAAGATCCCTGATGGAGAGAGAGTAGACTTTGATGTGAGTATTCTTGGGCCATTCCTTTGGCCCAAACTAGTTCTTCCTTATCCCTAGAGCTCTTTGAAAGAGTAGTCCAAATCTTGCTACACTTTTGTTGCCCTGCAGGATATTCACCGGAAGCGAATGGAAAAAGATCTGAATGAATTGCAAGCTCTAATTGAGGCTCATTTTGAGAATCGAAAGAAGGAAGAAGAAGAGCTGATCTTCCTCAAGGACAGAATTGTATGTCAGAATTTTATACTTTTTATTTAGACCCTCTTTATGGTCAGACTCAATTCTCCTAACCCCCTTACTAATGATTTAACTGCTTTATGAAAGTCACTGATTTTGCAGTTGTTCGTACGTAGCATCAAGACTAGGCTTATTGACAACTTGTGAATCGATTATAACAGTACGTAATTCTAGGCAATGCTATGCAATTCTTCTTAATAGGGAAGGATTGGGAACTGGACTGCACAAGCGGCAGGTGAGTATGTGAGTACGCAAATTTGTGCAAGCATGGGTGCACATGTGATACCATCCCCTCCCACCCAACACCACTGCTGCCATTGCCAGTCCATGCAGCAGAAAGGTTGGGGACTGCTGTATTAAAAGGGAAAGAAAATTGCAGATCTTGATTGATAAAGCAATTCTAGTAAGAAATAATATTTATAGAGAAATGTATGTCCTTAATAAGTACATTCAGGACAGTAGTTATCATATCCCATCTTTATTGTTAGGCGAAATGATTTGCAATTATTATTATTTATTTATGTACAACAATAACTTCTATGCCACTTCAGCTGAACTAATGTAATTGTAGTTTAAGTGTCAACAGTTCTTGTCCCTTCTCCATTGACAGCATCAAATTTTAACATAAATCCTAAATGATTGGGCCACAAGTCTTTGTCCAGGAAGATATATTGAAAATTAAGCTTGCTTTATATAGGAGCAGCGGCGAGCTGAACGAGCTGAACAACAACGGATCCGTAGTGAGCGAGAGAAGGAACGCCAGGCCCGTCTGGCTGTGAGTCTATCCAACATTTATGGTGTACTTTCTTAAGTGTAACTAGTGGAAGTAACTTACTTTTCTCACTTTTTAATTATAGTCATTGTTCAATAGTATCAATATTATCAGTCACAGCGAACATTTGGGGTTAATGCTTAATATTCCATTCACGTTGACTTGGCAGAAACATAACCGAATTGTTTTCACATTAATGCTTATTCAATGCTTACTCAGTTCATCAAGCTGAACTGTTTTGGGAGGTGATTATTGGCTTTGATAAAATTATTGTCCCATAGTTATTGCACAATGATATGATTAAATATCAAATGATGCAGTATGGTTTGATTTTTTTTTAAATTCAGAGGACAAGATGGCGCTAAATGTCTGACAATATAAATTGCTATATTTATAAATATAAAGTGCTAATTTTCATCAGTTGGTAATAATTGACCAATTACTGTCTATACTTGCAAATTTTATAACTGAAAGCTTTTGCACTATTGAAAATAGATGACAATTCTTGTACCATTTATATTTTGTTCTGTAAGAGTTCTGTACATCCAGTCTGATCCTTTAATTCTTGTCTGGAAACTGGAATCTTAAACCTAATGCTATTCAATTCATAGAGAGAAAAGCCATCGTGACTACTAAATCTTTTTCTAATTGTCTTTTGGTGCAGCTGAACAACTTAAATAAGAACTAATTCAAAATTATCACTGGTCTGCTGAACTTTAGGCAAGAATTAGACTGCTATCATCTGAGTTTACCCATCTATTGGGTAAACATTTGACTTTATTGCACATTTTTTTATCTTTCTGAAATTCATATCTCCTTTCTTGGTAGGAAGAGAGAGCTCGAAAAGAGGAGGAAGAAGCCAGGAAGCGGGCTGAAGAGGATGAGAGGAAGAAAAAAGCTTTCTCCAACATGCTTCATTTTGGAGGCTACCTTCAGAAGGTGGGTATATGACTGTTGTAGCAGGGGACTCCATTGCAAAAAGTTGTATAAACTGTGTATATATTAAATTATATGGATGAAGACACATTTCACAAATACTTGCTATTTAAATGAAATACATTATATATAAGGTGTAAGGTATAAGGTGATGTAGTCTGAGCTGTTTGCTGCCCATATTCTAATTATCCAGTTTCTAATTAGAAATTGAAATCCTCTTTTTTTGTCTTTTAATGACCCCACAATCCCTTGCATTGGGGTGGAGTAAGGGAAACTGAATGGAGCTGAGTATTCACTAGCTGGATGCCCTTCTTGTTGCCAATGCAGAGTTCATATTTACTCATAAAATATCAGTGATATTTTACTCATTGTGCCCAGAGAGATATATACCTGCCGCTACCTAGGATTGAACTCACAGCCTCCTGATTGTGAGGCAAGAGCTCTACTTCTAGGCCACTACACCATTCACAAATTCAAAGCCTCTCTCTCCAATTATTTTATTCTTATTTTTTAAACCTTTGAACTGGATTCAATTTGCCTGGCCTTTCAAACAAAAGATTTGAAAATTCCCAAATTTTGAACTCAGCGTCTTCCCTCTGCTCTTGGAAAGATTTGCACTAATCTATAAAGATAATTTAATACCTGCAATGCCCTTTGAAACTTTTTTATCTTTAGTTTTAATCCACGTACCCATAATATTTTGCCCGTGAAATGGCCATTTAATGCATATGTGACTTCTAAGATTCACCACCGGAGCGAAGCAATTTGGTTGAACTTGATAGCCACTGATGTCACTCATGAACTGATTTATTTTAGACAGAGAAGAAAAGTGGGAAAAAACAAACAGAGCGGGAAAAGAAGAAAAAGATCCTCACTGAGCGCCGTAAACCCCTGAATATTGATCATTTGAATGAAGACAAATTGAGGTGAGAGGGGATCTCATTCCTCCGTCAGAAGACATTGCTGGAGGGTCTTCTTTTCTTTAGGAATGGAAAGCAAGAATTGAGGCAAAACTGGGTTTTACCTGCTATTTTTAAAATTTCTTAGATACAACGCATGGCCAGGCACAAAACAAATGTAGCCTAATTTCTGTCATTAATGTCACTCTCTCAGAGGATGGCATGATCCTGTTACAATCAAAAGGGAGCTGATGCTGAACCATTTTCTAGTCCAAGATAAATAAATCCTATTTAATTTGGTTATATTGATGCATACCAAACAGTTTTCCATGACTGGAGAATATTGGGAGACAAATGGTATAAGAAATACTCTATAGCATGGGTGTCAAACATGTGACATCACATTGCTGTCACGTGACACATTGTGAGTTTTTTTCCGTTCGCGGAGCTGGGGTGGGCTTGGTCTATGCATGCTACATCCAGCCTGTGAGCCACCAGTTTGACACCTCTGCTCTACAAGCACAATAAAAGTAAGCATGCACTCAGCCTCTGAAAAGGGGTGAGGAATTTATGGTCTTCCAGAAATTGGTTAACTGCAGTGTGGCAAATGTAACTCCAATATGTATAGGCAAAGTACAAAGCCAAGCTGGTGCTAAAATATTAATATATATTAGAGTTCCCTAAGCAAATGGCAATAGCCAAACAACTTTGGCTTTAATAAAGCTGAGTAGAATCAAACCTTGTTCGTATTTAGATTGAGATCATCATGGAAGTCCAGGGCAGAGTTTTACACAGGGAAGTAAAAAAAAAATCTGGAAGAAATCAGTCACAAACTAGTTCTATGTAGTTTCCATGAAAACAATAGGCATGTGTTCATGAAGTCCACCAGAAATCAAGATCAAGTCAAGAGACTCTTTAATTTTTCCTAGGTCAATTTTTCCTAGTATATACAAATGTTTTTCTCATCATGTAATTTATCCATGTTTTGACATGTTTACAGTACGTTAAACAGAATTGTCAGTTTGACTGCCCACAATTTGCCTTAAGAGATACTAGCAGGATTATATCTTAAATAGGTGCTACACAATTGTAATGATGACTGGTTGGGCATCAGTCCGAAGAATGTACAGTATTGCTGGCATCTGAGCTTTTAAAAAAAGTCCACTAGAGGGTGCAAAGATCACATGGAAAAAATACACAACTTCAAGAGACTGGTTGAGGGTTTTAGAACATTGTGTCCTGCCAACGGTGGCCAACTTTACAGAAATGATGATGGAGATATTCTCATTTTTTCTCTCTCTTTGTTTTTCCCATATTTTTGATTGTTTGTTTGTTTCCATAGTAATTAAGGGGAGGAAATAATTGTAACCACCTTAAAAAGATAGTACAAATTAGTTTACTGTTTGGAAAGTGCATCAGATTTAAGAGGACTTTTGTATGAATTGCTTCTACAATTCTTTTATGGTTTACATGGGCTTTTCTGGGGTTTTGATTTCCAGAGCTTGGACAGAGCCAGATGTGTAGACTGATGAAAAAGAAGGAAAAGAGAGGTCATCAGATTTTCCTCTACAGGGTTGGACTTTTATATGGGCCACAAAATGTGAGGAGGAATGTGCTTCTTACAGGATTATCCCAAGGGACCAACCACTGAATATTACCATCTACACTGGTTTGTCCCTACTTATCAAAAGGCTGAAAAACCAATCAGCATATGAACTCATTAAATTAAAATGCAATACAATCTCCATTGGCCTTTCTGCTATGGTGAATGGTCATGCATTGGTAAAGGCTGCTCTACAGCAGGAGTGTCAAACTCAATTTCATTGAGGGCTGCATCAGAGTTGTGTTTGACTTTGGGGGGGGCAGGGTGGGTGTGGGGGGGCAGCTCAATGTCACTCATGTTGGGGGCACCTGTGGTGCCCCAAGTGGTCTGACAGTGAAAATGGGCTGTTGAGATCTGTTTTTGGCTGTGATGACTTCCTACAACCCTCTGCCAGTAAAAAATGGAGCTTGGGAGGGCCAGTCTCCATTTTCACTGGCAGAGGTACCAAGGGCCAGTCCTTTGCCATTTCCAGGGTAGCCCCACAACCCAGATCTAAGCACCCCGTGGGCCAGATCCGGCCCTCAGGCCATGAGTTTGACACCCCTGCTCTAGAGCAACATGCTTCCATTATATGTTTTGCTTAGCTTAGAACTAACATGACTAGTACCTTTATTAATGTTATGTCTTCTCAAATCAGAGAAAAGGCCAAGGAACTGTGGCAGACCATTCATGATCTTGAGGCTGAGAAATTTGATTTACAGGAAAAGTTCAAAAGGCAGAAATATGAGGTAAGTCTAAACAGCGATATCAATTTCTCCACAGCTCTGGATTCTGAGTAGGATAATCAAATGTTACTTCTTACTAAGACTGAGTGAAATTAAAGAAAATTAAAGATTTTGGAACTTTGTAGATTTTTTAAAAATATATTTTGATAACATTTTCATAATTGAAGCCAAGTTATGTCAATGTAGCAGCATGCATTATTAAAAGATCTGTAGTCTGTGCTGTTAACAATGTACAATAGAATAGAATACCTTTTTGGCCAAGTGTGATTGGACATCCAAGGAATTTGCCTTGGTGCAAATGTTCTCAGTGAACATTAAAGAAAGACACATTCATCAAGAGTCAAGAATCATAAGGTACAACACTTAATAATAGTCATAGGGTACAATAAGCAATGAAATCATACTAGGAAACAGTCAATAAAAATTGTTAAGATACAAGCAGCAAGGTTACAGTCATACAGTCACAAGTGGGAAGGGATGGGCGATAAGGAGTGATGAGAAGATTAATAGTAATAGTAATGCAGACTTAGTAAATAGTTTGACAGTGTTGAGGGAATTATTTGTTTAGCAGAGTGATGGCATTCGGGAAAAAACTGTTCTTGTGTCTAGTTGTTCTGGTGTGCAGTGCTCTATAGCATCATTTTGAGGGTAGGAGTTGAAACAGTTTATGTCTGGGATGTGAGGGGTCTAAAATATTTTCACAGCCATCTTTTTGACTCATTCAGTATACAGGTCCTCAATGGAAGGCATAACTGTTTTTGAAACCACAAAGCAAATCCACCAACAAGTAGAGTAGTGTTTCCATTCCTTTTATGCTCAATTAACTTCCTTTGCTTTGAGGAATATTATTGGGTCATACCTTCATGAAATATTGTTAATGAGAAAATCCTTCATTGGCTTGTATTATTCACATTTCTGTGATCAAGGAATATCAGTCAGAAAGTGGGTGGACTGAAGCAGAATGGACTGAAGAAATCATGTTGATGATTGATCTCAGAGAAAGTTGAATATTTTCCTCATTTGGGTGTTTGAGTAATATTTTCTTTGCACTGAAGTCACTATTGAAAATGAAAAAGGATAAGCTTTCAACACAACCTTGGTATTTGCTTCCCCCTCCCTTTATTTTCACGGCAAAATGACCTATTTTTCCTCCAGACAAGAACAGACAAGCATGAGTAATCTGATGTGACTCATCTGAATGACAACCTAGATTTATTTCCATTTTTGGAACCAACATCATAAGTCAGCACTGAAGACCTCTTTACATGAATGAAGTTACTTCTGTGCTTCAATGAAAAAAAACTTTAAACCTGCTTTCCCCAATCTGAAGAGTTTTATTTGTGCTTGGACTACAATTATCAGAATTTCTCATTGGCAAGGGGAAATCCTAAGATTTGTATTCCCAATGTATGTGGGCAACCCGGGTTAGCAAAGGATATTGGGCATAGGAACAGGAGAAAGAACTTTAGAAATTGGATAAAGAGACTTTCGGTGGAGTTTCTGTTAACGACAGATCAGAGACCTTGATTGTGCACGACTTTGATCCGTGTTTCCCTTGTTGGAAGGGTCCCCATGGGACTGGAGTCATCTCACCCACCTTGGAGGGGTGGGAGAAGAGGGGGAGACCACCAACTGGGTCAAGGGGAGCCGCATCTCCCCCCCAGCTAGGTATTACTCCCCTGGAAGACGGGAGAAATGGCAGTCTAAAATGGCTGCCCTGAAGACAGAAAGCTGCCGGGACCCTAAGTTTTGTGCTGGAGCGGTGAAGTGGTGAGCGACATGTAACCAGATAAAAGAACTGAATTTTTTCTTAACAACCCCAAGAAGTTGAAAGAAAGTGCCCTCGCACAAGAGTATCACAGTGGTAAACAGAAAATGAGAGGAAAATAAGGACACTTATGTATGGATGAAATGATATTGATATTGAATTAATGAACTGAAATATGAATTGCAAATTTATTTAAAGGTGAATGAAATGGATAATAATATGAGTTAATATTATATAAGGTTAATGGAAATGAAAATATGACTATGTAAAAGTGTTATAATCTGGAAACATGTTGCTCACGTGAAAAGTTGTATAAAATTTAAGAAACAAAAAACGTTTTACAAAAAAAAATGGAAATTGGATAAAGAAATGCTGCCTAGATCAGGGGTCCCCAACCTTTTGGACCTCAGGGACCACTAATTTTAAATCCCACAGACCACCAATATGAATCCAGTGTGCTGCTGGCTGAAGCACTTGGATTCCCAATGACGGGATGGGGTCCTTCAGGCAATACCTGAATTTCTCCTCTTACTAAATATGGCTAAATTCAACATCATATTTGTCTATGAAACATGGCTCAACGCATCTCTCC